CCCCCTCTACACGCTACAGACAATAGTACTTTTACCTTTACTTTTTACTTCAAGTGTTTTTTTAAGGATACTTTGTACTTTTTACTCAAGTACGTTTTGCGTCCAGTACTTTTTACTCTTACTCAAGTTGTTTTATTGTTAATTACTTCTACTTTTACTCGAGTACAAATTCAAAGTATTAATTTAGGGCCTTTTAGGCACCACTGATTCTATTAAAATATGACAAACTGAATCACAGTGACAAATAAACATTAACTTATACATCTAAAAACTCCATATTTCTATCCCTGATTTCACACAAATGTATTACAACTAATATGATAACTTACGATTCTCTCTTCATCAATAACAAATTCTTTTAAATTCTCCAAGTACATCTCATCGTCCGCCATCTTGTTTCTGACGTTGTTTAGATTCCCGCCAAATTCTCATCTTTCGCGGGCTCTCATCACTGGCTCTCATGCAGTCATTGCAAATTGCAACTTGATTTTTGACTTTTTAATAAAAAAATGCCTAAAACTGGGAAACTTTGATTATGGCCCCATAATAAATAGAAAAAACTGATTTATTTAATGGCCAACTTGAGAAAATCACTATCCAGAGGAAGCACGTTTGACATGCCCAAAATGTATGGAGACAAACTGGAATAAATTAAAAATGTAGGGTCACCGACCTCCTTTAACATACTGTAGTTGAGTGAACTGAATTTTCACAGGAACCAGGGGCGGCGCTAGAGGGGGGATGCGGGGATAGGGGTGCGGGGGACACCATCCAGTCTGCAAATTAATTGTATCCCTGCAGTCGGCAAATTGTTTTCCCAGTCGGCGAAACATGAATTGGACGAGGGGGGAAAATAAATATTGAAGTGAAACTGACAACTATTAATAATTAATAGCTCAAATTTGGGGACATTTACGAAAACATTAAGCAAAAACTAAACGAGTCACGGTACGTCAGCTCAAAAGATATTGAAAAATCTGATGCCCGGAAAAGAAGATATCTTACAATCTAATTAAGTCCTAAACCATGAGATCGTCCGCCGACCGTAACATTTTACATTTGTGTCAGAAACAGTAACGCAGGGAATGTCAGAGGCTTTGAAGACCCGTGTACCAGGGCTTGGAGAAACGACAATCAAATATGTGTTTGGCAGACTGTTCAAACAGCATGGTTGTATTTGTTTACCATTTGGGGGATCTGTACGTGGTATTGATGCCGATACACGATACACCCTGGCTCCAGCCAAAGCCCAGCCAAAGCTCCAGTCAAAGCCCAGCCAAAGCTCCAGCCAAAGCTCCAGCCAAAGCCCAGCCAAAGCTCCAGCCAAAGCCCAAGCAAAGTCAGCAACGATGCAAATCATGCATATCAGTGAGCAGAATGAAGCAGACGGAGAGGAAATTGATTTGGCAAATTGGAAGAAAACGTTCTTTGGCGAACTGACCAACCTGTGATACACTACGAATTCACTGTAATATTATAACAACGGCACAAACACGAGCCTGTTCCGTGTGATCCATGGGTGTCTTGGTATAACGATGATAATTCTTCGAAAATATTTCGCTATTGGAAACTTCGCGCTAAAGGTCCAGACACACCGGACGCAATTGCAATTCGACAACGCGACGCGATTTTTCGATTTTCACTGATCGATAACTTTGATCCTAGTTTGAATTTTCCAAATATTTAGAACCGCTATAACATTTTGAGTTATTTGGTCTACATATCTTTCAAAATTTGCTCTCATTGCCATTGGCTGTTTTATTAACTCGATAAAAACTAAAAAATCGCGTCGCGAATCGCGTCCTGTGTGTCTGGACTTTAAAGGGTACACCGCAAAAGACGACGCCTTTCCTTCATTTATTAACAAAGACAGAAATCCTATTGACTTCTCTCGGCGTAAAGCTGTTCAAAAAGTCATTTTGCTTATTACTATGCGCTGTACTGTATGAGGTTCTTGGCTAGATGAGGTTAATATTGAATGTCCCCATGGCTCTTCATAAGGAGTATAAGGGATTCTGGCTCTAATTACCAACTGCCACAGAACGGAGCTGGCAAAAAGAGACCAGGAAGTTATGGGGACAAAACCATTAACCGGCCTCCAACATTAATCTTTATTGGTATAGTTATTCATTATGTTATAGTGGACAGGTTGACAAAAGCAAGAAAGCCGTCATGTATGCGGTTTCATTATACATTATATAATTGACATAAAATGCAAAACAATAGATACTCCGAAAATTGAAAGCATTTTGAAAAATTTATTTCGACGTTTAGACTATACTATATAGTCATCATCAGGAAATGAATGATGATGATATTACATATGTACAAGTATATATAGTGAAGTAACAAGATACGATTAGTTAAATATTAACAGATCTTTAGAGGCTATAGTTCCATGGTTTAGGGACGGTTTCATTCTATTAATAGCAATAGACTCTTGATAAAGTATCAACGACCAGTGATTGGATTTAGGGACCGCTCATTATTTATTGTACAGGGGGGGACTGAGGAGAAACTCTACAGTTGTAATATTTTTTCGTTGCCCCCCTCTTAAGACAAGTAAAATTTTCAAAGCTCCCCCCCAACAGGCAAAACAAGAACATAAATGTTGCCCCCCCCCCTCTAGCTCTTTATCTTTATTTAGAGAAACAAAAACTCTAGCTGTTTATTTTAGAGAAAGAAAAATAGGTAATGGGGACCAATAGACATTCCCATTATAGACTAATTTTTTATCTTAGCAAAAAAAGTATATTCCCGGGAAGGGCATACTAAAATTACTAAAATTCCAAAGTTTGGTTGCAAAATGTTGTCAAATATGTAGAAAATATAGCCTTCCAAAGTTTGCAAATTTTGTATTCTTTTGTATAATTGCAATTTTCGCATGCAATACAAAAGTGTACAAAATTTGCAAACTTTGCAAGGCTATATTTTCCGTATTTTGCAACAATTCGCAACCAAACTTTGCAATAATTTACTTATTTTAGTATGCTCTTTCTAGCTGTGGTGATTTATTTGCATCAAGGCCGGATTTTGAGGGAAGTGTGGAGAGGTGCGCACCTCCCCAGAGATCGTTTTGCACCTCCCCTGAGAATTTTTCCACCTCTCTTGAAAGGTCATGCACTTCCCCTTGGGAAAGTTTCAATGATGGAACAAAGTGAAAATGTGATGGTTGCTTAGGATCTACACTTTGTGACGTAAGAAAGTTTTCTCTGTAAAATTGAAACAGTGATAGCCATGTCAAGCACCCTTTTAATGCAATGTTTTGAAAGAAACAGTGTAGCAATTGTAATGAAGGGCAAGATTGGAGTCATACATTCATAATTCATTAATACACTGGTACATATTATGTACCCTACATGCATACCTCACCTGGTTGATATTGGCCTGTTCTACAATAAGCCCTAACTTTCCATGGGAGTTGTGAGCTAGACCGCTGCACCTCTCCTAAAATTTTTGTCCACCTCCCCCACTATTTTCACCAAAATCCGGCCTTGATTTGCATCTCTTTGCCTAGTTCTAAAATTAGTCTATAATGGGAATTGTCTATTTACATGAACATGAGAGACTTTTTATTTGACTTCCATTTATGAATATTAAAGTCTATAAATATTGTTATTTGTTGTTAAGTTGTTTTGTGATACATTTTAAAAACTACTGTTTTTTCAAACTGGTAAATATTTTCAAAGCCCCCCTTCTTTCGTCTCTCTGTATTTTTTCAAAGCCCCCCCTTTCAGGTTTTGAAAAATTTGAAGGCCCCCCCAGTTTCTCCTCAATCCCCCCCTGTACAATAAATAATGAGCGGTCCCTTATCTATTAATAAACTTATAGTGTTAGTAATAGTAAATATTAAATCTGTTACTGAACATTTAATGTTATTAACTTCGTCATTAGGTGTTAGTTCGAGTAGGTTTTTTACAAAATTGAAGTCATTACAGTTAGTAATATGGTTATATATTTCAGAAGAGTCAAGAGAAGAATGCTCTTTAATACGGGTATATAGGCAGCGATCAGTTTTTCCTACGTAGTTAGCATTACATCCAGGGCATTTGAAATCATACACAACGGAGCTTTGATACGTTTTTGATGTTGGGTCTTTAAGTGAGATGAAGCAATTATAGTATCAGTAGTTTTCCAGTTGACGATAAATTTGCAAGGGGCTTTCAGTAGAGGACTTATTTTTCGAATGAAGTTATTAGTGAGTTTAGTTCCATATTTACCGAGTAAAAATAAATGAATCCAGATCTTGGTTGTAGTGGGGTCAATGACAGCATTATTAGAGTTATTTGGGTTAGGAGAAGAGGGTTTGAACAATGTTAAAAGTTTTCTGGAAAGTTTTCGAGGGAATCCATTCCATAACATGAAAGAGGCAATATTATTTAGTTCAAGATTAAGAAGTTCATCATTGCTACAAATTTTGTGGGCACGATGAATGAGGGCACGTATCCAGGAAATCTTTCTTGACCATGGAGTGTAGCTTGAGTAATGTTGGTATTGACCAGTATGGGTTTGCTTGCGGTAGACAGTAGTACCATTCGGAAGTATTTGGATGTCTAGGAAGTGTATGTCATTGTCAGGAAATTGGTCAACAGTGAATTGTATTTGACTGTCGAAGGTATTGAAAGTATTAAGTTAATGTTTAATGTCAGTGGGCTTCGCAAGAACTAAAGTGTCATCTACGTAGCGCTTATAAAAGACAATTATTCCAGAATTGATTAGTGGTTTGATGATTACAGTTTCAATGGTCAAGAAAGATTACTCCATGGTGAAGAAAAATTTCCTGGATACGTGCCCTCATTCATCGTGCCCACAAAATTTGTAGCAATGATGAACTCCTTAATCTTGAACTAAATAATATTGCCTCTTTCATATCATGGAATGGATTCCCTCGAAAACTTTCTAGAAAACTTTTAACATTGTTCAAACCCTCTTCTCCTAACCCAAATAACTCTAATACTGCTGTCATTGACCCCACTACAACCAAGATCAGGATTCATTTACCTTTCCTCGGTAAATATGTAACTAAACTCACTAATGGCCGGGTTGTACATTATCCGCACTAATTTACGCCGAAGTGGCGTCCCTGCTGAAGATTTACTTGAGATCTATTTCGCGATCATACGCTCAGTGTTAGAGTATTGTTGTGTTGTTTGGCATAATACTTTACCTTCGTATCTTGATAACCAGTTAGAACGAGTCCAGAAACGCGCACTTAGAATTATGTTACCAGAATACACCTATGGTGAAGCCCTAACATTTCTGAAATGCGCCCGGCTAGACGAGAAAAACGTTGCCTTAAAACCTTGAAAAATATACCACAAGGAAGTCCTTTATTTAGTCACATTCCTGCACCGAGAGACACCTGTTACGATTACAACCTAAGAAATTCTAATGCATTAACTACGTATACGATCAAATGCAGAACAGAACGGTACCGCCGCAGCTTCTTTCCGAGCACTGTGCCTGTGGCTATTTTTAATGACAGTAGCAACATTTAAAATACAGATTTTATATAAGTACAAAGTAACGTTTTAATATATTTTAACTCTTTAATCCTTATTATTGTTAATATAGTAATTAAATACTTAGTTGTAAATTCACCGCAATTCAAATTTATGCGATGGTGAATATTCTTAAACATGAATAATAATAATAGTAAACAAATAGGTACGCACTGCGTACATGTGGCAAGCATTTGGAATAAAAATTAAAATTCCCATTATGAACATAAAAATAAAATAAAAACTGACACAGATAAATATGATTAAAATAATGTTCAAGTGTAACATTGAGGTTGATTGTTATGATCCATTAACAAAGTCCCAGAAAAGGACTCTGCATGTATTCTAAATGAAAAGTATTTCTTTTGATTGAGACCATCTCTTGTAAGCAACAAGAATTTTTTTGAACATGCTGACTATTAAATGACAATAATTTATAAAGATTCTTTCTATTAATTAGAATTCTATTCATAGTTGATGTATCCCAGATGTTTATAGACTTTATTTCATTGTATAAAATGGTATGGATCGACATTGCAACACATATTTGTTTACCAGTGTTACTTCAAAACATCGACGCATTACCGTGATTAACCCATTGAGTCGCATTGTGCCCTGATGCACCCTACTCTATTATTTTACTCTGTCTAACGCTAAATTATTCTACCCTGTCTAATGCTAGATGATTTTACTTGTCAAGGGGAGAGCGCTGGCGCTTAATGGGTTAAAGTCTGCACAAACTGTAAAAGTAGGATCAACTATTTCATTAATATTGCCATCAATATTTTCCTCAACAGAATCTCAATCATAATGGTACATAAACATTATAGCATAAAATCTTAAATTTGTCAGAGATATGTAAACGTTAATTCATTTCAGCCAAATATTATTTTCTTCTGTTGTTTAGGTATTAGTAAACTTTACTTGATTTCAACCAAATATTATTTTAT